GAAATAACTTGCCACACGATAGGAAGTCGAATTTAATTTTAATTTAAAATTAAGTATATAACTTCACAATTACTTTGCAAATAAAAGTACACAATCAGAAAATTCAAATACAATTTAAATTATTTGAATTTTTTTGTTATTAAGAAATCAGTCTTTGCATTTAACAAAGAAATATCGACAAGAGATAACAGTTCCTTTATTTGATTCAACCATACTACGATAAATATCAATTATCATATCTGATAATTATGTATGAAAAGAGAAATTGATAAAAGAAATTTATAAATATGTATTTTATTACAGATTTTTTTTAATTTAAATATATATTAATTTCAATTCTGTTTACTTTTCTCGTCAGTTTTATTATGACTTCCATTTTTGTTGCAGCAATCTATCATACTATTTTATTGCACGCCGTAAGAATATCAAGTAAGAATGATCACCTTTACTCTTTCTTCGTCTAGTTGTCTGGAAATTCTCGCCGCGGAGGAGCAACATGTAATGAAAGTTATAAAGTGGTGCGATAGCAGCAGTGGCGTTTCTTCAGCAACATATATCCAGTAAATCGTGAGATGGAAGCAAACGTTTGTGCTTACAGTCCCGTGGGAGGGAACAACATGTTGGCTGCTCAAGGAACTTCCGTCGAAAGAATCCAACTAATACTTTCAGCATCGTAATTACAGTCGACACGACTTTCATACGCGGTTTCGACGTCTCGGGGGAAAGTTTGCCCCGGGTGCGGTGAGGCAAGGATAAGAAGCAGTCCTTGAACAAACGAGACTTGCAACCTCCGAGAGGTCAAAGAGTACATCTACTCTCTCGACGAGAGTCGCGTAGTACAAAGGGGGTAAAAAGAAGAAAAACCACAATAGTCCTGTGCCGATCTCTTTACTAGTTTCTCTGAGAGGTTCTAGGTCGAGGATCTCCACATGAATTCCCCTTCGACAATCAGAAAGTCGTCAAAAAAAGTCCGGTTGGACGTTGAAGCCCCCACGCGAAAAAGTGGAGAAATATCTTAATAAAAAAAAGTGACAAACTGATAATTATATTTTAATTAGAATAATTCGATTCTTTCTTTCATAAAAGTTGATGAAAAGTTCCCTAAGAACAGTTGCAGGTGAAATAACCAATTACTTTAGTCATGAGGGACAGAATAGCGGACGGACAATCCGCAAAACTCTCCTTATGCATAATCTCCTGCTCGAATTTGTATCTCCATTCCAGCTCTCGCGTGGCTAATTTCGGAAATCCCAGAGCAGTTCACGCGTAATGTCAGCTTCCGAATTAGACGCGAGCCTGGACTTCAGGTATCAGGTTGGTCCGAGGCTCTTGATTAAATATGGGACGATGCGTCAACCTCACGGGAGGAAATTGCGGATCTTCCAAACCAGAAAGAGAGAGAGAGAGAGAGAGAGAGAGAGAGGAGAGGGAGGGGGCGAGGGAAAGAGAGAGAATTAGGGTGAGAGAAAGAGAGAGGGGAAGAAGGCTGGTAGAAGGTCGACAGTGTGAAACCTCTGGTTTATTTCGAATCGATCGCAAAGGATACACTCGAGGATACTCGGGCTAATTCGGCTCGCATCGGCGATTCAAAACTGTTCGATTCGCAAAGTAACCACATCGGCCATCTCATGCGATAAACACCACCGCGAGGCTTCCTTCTTTCTCCCCTTCTTTCACTCTCCCTTTCCGCAAGATCGACTCTCCCACGTATAAACGCGGTTGGAGATGCGCGAGGGTGGCGTTGCGTCTCCCAAGAAATTTGGATCCTTCGATCAATACCGCGTCTCCCCTGCGTCAGCACCACCGAAAGAGACGTGTAACATAAAAATATTATTCCAGTTTCTT